GCTCACATCCATCTCCTTCAACTTGGAGTTGATACACTGACAGGTGTTCATTGTGAACACAAACTTGCATATTTTTTCTTCTGGCTTACATTATTTGAATCCCTTGAGGAGAGCAGTCTGGATTTCCCTATAGGCATAACTACCTTGCCTCTGAAAGTCAGGAAATAGTTTTGCTATGTTACTAGAATGCTGCCCTGTTTTTCAGAAATAAAATACTAGATTATGAACTGTCAACTTTTCCTGAAAATATATCAGCAAAAAGTAGCAGTAAATTTTTCTTTTCCCAAGAGATAGTGATAGGGTATTTAATTGGATTGTAACAGTACTCTGACATCCTATAATATCCTTCAAAAGCAGATCTCAGAAAACTGTAACAGCATTAATGAATTAATAAATAACCTCTGCGTTGGATAAGAGTGTCCATGAGCCACAAAAATGGAACCTGAAGCACAGATTGCCAAATTCAGTCATGTACTTGTGCAAGTTGTGTCATAGTTTTATGACAAGTTTTTTTGGTCATAAAAACGATTGTACATACAGTATTGTAGCCAAGTTCCTGCTGCCATCCAGTGGGTGGAAAATGAGTAATAAGTTTTGGCTTCTTGGTGTTTGGCTTCTGTTGCAAACCCACTTAGACACCTACATGTCTCCATTTTGGCATGAAAAGTTCCCTAGGTGTGTAGACAGAGACTTGTATTTGCAAGCAGAAACCATCCAGTTAGGTGCACACAACTTCCACCTGAGGTTTCTTGCCACCTATATTGGTGCTAGGAGGTACTTAAACTGTACCTAAGACCCCAGTATGTCAGGAATTTGCAGTTTCTGCCCAATGCCTGGTAGATATTGACAGCAGTGTGTTCACTATAAAGAGCAGCCCTAAATACTTGGCTGTTTTGCAGAAGGTGGGTGCCACCACTACAGCCCACTGTGTTCAAGAGTGAAAGTTGCTGTTCTGATTGAGCTTTGTTCTGAATTCAGCTTTGTTCTGAACTTAACTTTGTTCTGAATTCAGTACAGGTGTCAGTGCAGCTACATGCCTCCCCTCTGGGCACTCTAGATTCCAAGATAATCAAGGCACCTAATGTGCAGCCTTGAATCGGGTATAAATACAGTGCCACTGGAGCTGCTCTCAGAGCTGCTCTAAAGTGCTTTCTCCTTCCCCCCCCCAACTCCTGGATCACGTGTATAAACACCCCTATTTTTGACCTACACTCACATTGGGAAAAATGAAGTCCCTTTGTGACACTTAGGCCCTGGCAAATATTCAGGTAGAGACACCATGGGACCCAATGTGTGATCCTAACAAGTGCACTTCCTGTGCATGTGCATGGCAGAAGGTGCGATTTTGGGACTGGGAATCAAACGCCAGTGTTGTCATATTGCTGGTGCTTGGGAAGCCCAGGATCTGTCAGGAGTTGGCAGATTTTGCCTAACATCTGGTAGACATGGACAGCAGTGTGTTCACTACAAAGAGCAACCTTGAGCACGTAGCTGTTATGCGAAAAGTGAGTAGTGCTGCCGCAGCCTGCCACAGCCCCGGCACTGGCAAGTAGTAAACCAGTCAGCTGATCCCTGCTCCCAGCCTCAGGGGGGTATTAAAGTCAAGGGCACAGAAAGGGAAGGTGTTCGTCCTACTTCACTAGGGGGCAATGAGAGAGAGCGAGCGAGCTGTGACTTCCATTGATAAGCTCTGAACATGCATAGGACCAACTCCACTTATCATGTGCTTGCCATTTTATGGGGTTTCCTTTTAAGCTTCTTCTGTTCTCAAACATGCAAAATTGTAGTAGAGATATTTGACTGTTTATTACCTGTTGCATGCTTCACTACTTTGGGATTATTGCTTAATTAAACCTTCAATTTGCCTGATGTTTTCTTAATGTGCTTTAGAGGGGATACATTCCTGTCTTCATTTAAATTTAATTCTTGTTTTATTTGCATTGCTCCTTCCCCTCTTCTGGTTGCCTTTATTCTTTTGATGCAGATTATTCAGGCATGTTCAGGGGCAGTTCCGGGGGGGTGGAGTGGCACAGTCGCACACCCTCTTCCACAATATATCTCACATGGTTGCATGGCTGGAGCCTTGGGCTAGAGTGGGAAACCTGAGGGGACTGAGCAGGGAGCAGATGAGGAAGAGGGGAACCACTGGCTCCTACTGCTGTGTACCCAGCTAGTCCGGGGTGGGAGGAAGCTCCTGGACAGCTCCTGTATCATTCCAACCAGAGGCTGCAGGGAGCAGCTGTGCAGGGTGCCAGGTTTGACACACATCCTTGTTCCTTCCTTCTCCAGTTCATTTACCCTGGGGCTCTAGCTACAGGGAGCAGGTGTGCAGGTTGCCAGGCTTAGCTAGGGACAGCGGTGGCAGGTGTATAAAGACGAGTGAAAGCTCAGAGTTGGCAATTTGAGGGATATTTTGAATCTAACAAGGTATTCCTTGTGTCTAAAATGCTTGAGAATCACTTGTGTAAGTATTGAATGAATTCAGTGGATGGCCTGTAAAAATGCAACCACCCAAAGAAAGAATGGAGCACAGGATAATCGAGTACCTGACAGAGTTGAGGAAGTAGGACTGAATTATGGTACTGGAGAATCAAGGTAAAGAAGAGGCTTCCAATGTGTAAATCCTGTAAAGGAGGAGATATTGTACCTTGCACTAGCACAGCCAGTACTTCCCTTCAGTAACTAACCTGCTGGCCTTTGAGTTATGGACACAAAAGCCCAGCCTGTATTGGACACACCTCCTTTGGTAAAATACCCTTTGGAGACAGAGCAACGCTTCCTTTTTCTCCTATGTGGAAAGCAGCAGAGTTATGGATCCCTGCTGTCTGGGTTCAAAGGGGTTTCTGCATTCACTTTTCTGCCCCTTTCCACCCCACCATGGAAGCAGTCATAATTTAGCCCTTGATGTTTGAGATCCTCAGGCAAAAATGTCTTTTATCTACACTGGAAATGAAAATACAGTGCTTCCAAAATAAATTGGTAAGTGCCGCAAGTTTACCATTTTACAATGTTCAGAGTCTCATGTAGGAGGTGCTTTCTCTATTATCATGCTAGTAGCAGCACAACTGGGATAAAAGTTACTGGGACTGAGTTAAAAATATGCCCAGCACTGCTGCCACTGTAGGGCATTTGTACACATGCTTGCACCGCAGCGCCAGGCGCTTTTAAAAGTTCCTGGCACTGTGGCACATACAGTTGTATAAGTGGCAAAATGCACATCAGCACTAAGAAAATGGTGGTGGCATGCTTTTGAACTAAAACATGTCAAAACTGTTTTAGTTCAAAAGTGGACTGCCACCATTTTCTGTGTGCTGACACGGATATTGCTGCTTATACAACTGCACGCGATGCAGTCCAGTGCACGTCAGCTCATGTGCAGAGCAGACTCAATTAATGAAGTCTGCTCCAATGTGCTAGATTTCTGGTGAGTTGCAGCACGAAAATTATATGTATATAAATGCCCATAGTGCCCTCCCCAGGTAAAACATGTCTGCCTTTACAGAGAGGGGAGGGGGAGATGGGAATTTCTTCCTGGGCACAAAAGATACCCAAGGAGCCAATTTTCATACAGTGCAGGATGTACGCAGCCTTTTTACCACCTTATCTCAAATCCTTCTGCTCCTCACCATATAAGTTCTGCTACCAATGTTACTTTTGTGATAATTTCTGCAGATGCAGGAAAAGGGGTGTTGACCCTGAGATCACAAAACAGAAATGGTTATCTTTAAGGAAGAACTTTTCTAAGAGAAGCACAAATCTTGATGCTGTGATGCTCAGCTTGTGTTTGGCTTATGATACAAAAATATTACAGCCTAGAAATTGATGGGCTGGGTTTCCACAAAGGAGAAATATTTAATCATCAATCAACAAACATTTCACATCTAAAAATCAGTTTCAGTTTATATAAAACAAGCAACCAGGAACTGTCTACTCTTAACACACACTGACCTCTGAGGGCGATGACTATTTTAAATGGCTACTGGAGAATATCTTATATTCTGTAACAAATGCTTTTTAGCTGTTGACTTCACCTCCTGTTCCTCATTTCCCTGTTTCTGAACGTTAGCAAATATCCATTTCACTGCCATTAGGTAGCATGACTCTAAAATTCTACTAAAATGTTGTTTAAATTATGTGACTTGCATTATTATTTTCTGGTTGACTTAAGAGCTTTATTAAAATATTAAATTGCTTTTAGCAGCGTCATTTATTTAGAAAATATTTTGAGTGAAGGGTTCAAGGATTTCTTATTCAAAACAGAGGTTAGCTGCTTTGAAAGATCATTTCCATTTGAAGTCGCACATTCATTCTTAACAATGAAGAAAATAACATTTACTATGGGGATTTGTTACCGTCATAGAGGACTAGGAACTGATGTTGTGTGGCCCTCAGTCCTGCTCAGAGTTGTTTTGCCTACTTCAGGAATACATTTTAATAAACCAAAATGAAATGATTTGGGGAAAACATACCTGATCATTGTACTTTGTATTTATGCATTAACTTGATCTAAATATGACTTTATAGATTTACAGCTGGAGTCTGAAGAGATGGTATCAATAGAGAAAAATAAGTTGGGAATCAGTGATGGGAAGGGTATCCTCAGTATGCAAATTTAGACAGAAAAGGCTGTTTGAAACTGATAGCACGCTTTCCTAGATTCTGAATAGTACTTATCTATCCTTGAGAGGAAAGTCCTCCTTTTGAAGTTTTGTGGACTACTTTAGCTTAGCTTAGAAAGCTGCCATAGAGTTTTTCTGCTGATTGGCTAGACATAATTAAGAGCATGATTGTCTATTCATTACTAAAACAGTACTTTCCCCTTCCCCTCCAAAACACAAAAGCAAAAATCCCCTGTTTTTCCCCACCACCAAAATGTAAAAAGATTGACCAGGAACTTGTGTTAGAATCAGAATGTCACATTTCAGGTGAACATACTGGCTACATCTTACTTTAAACCAGTATGTCAACAGGAGCTGAAAATATTACCTCTTTCCTTACAGGAATAGATAATCTCTATGAGAGGGCTCTTCTCATCCGCAAACTCCTCCTGACTTTGCCCAGGTCAGTCCTTATAGTGATGAGGTACCTCTTTGCCTTCCTCAACCAGTAAGTACCGAAGATTCCTATCAAAATACTGTATTTTTATCCCACTTCTTTAGCCGGTATCAAAATTCTTTCTGTTTGTCCATAGTCTATGTGAAGATTATATTGGAGTTTCGTTTAACACAGAACTTGCAACAAAGAAAGGAGAAAAACATTTTCATGCAAACTGAAATTTCATTTCTCCTTAACTGAGCAAGGTTAATAAGACTTACAAAAGTGTTGTCTTGAATGAAGGAATTTGGTCTATTGCTATAAAACAGCAAAAATGAAATACACGCATGTGATCTGCACTGAAAATAAGTTGTGTGATTTAAAAGCAGAGTTTCTGAGAGAGATCCCCATCTCAGGCTTATTTTGCCTTGATGTTGGAAAAAAAAAATGGAGCACACTCAAACACCCCAGTCATCCACCAGTGGTTACTGGATGCAGTGTTCTGGTAGAGCAAATCACAAATAGTATCTTATGTGTCTATCAGGGAATGGTCATGGAGCCACAAGTACCAAAGAACACTAGCCCGTTTTCCTTTGCCATATGGCGATTGGATTTTCAAACTACAAACTAGGGCAGCCGCTGGGAAGTTAGGCTCATCAGGAAAGGAAAAGGGGGAAAAACTGAGAAAGAGTGAAAGCTAGTATGGGAGAAAATTGTTTTACCCCTGCCCTTTCGTTTTTTTCCTAATCCCAGTAGTTTCACTGTATATATACTTGTGCTGGGTGCCACGACTTATGTCATGTTCTCTGTCTGGTGCAGTGCTGCCTGCCTCCTGCAATTTCTGTTTTCTATTTTCCCTTTCTTCACCTTTTCCTTCTTTTCCTATTTTGTTCTTTGCTTATGCTTTCCTGCTCCTTCCTCCTTCAGATAACACCTCACTTGCCTCCCCCACTCTCCAAAATGCAGTTCACCACCCACATTCACTCATCCTTCCATATCATTACATCTCCATTTATGCTGTGGTTCTATCTTACTGCTGCAGACACTTCTTCTGATGTTGTGGATAATACTTCCATCACCTCTTTTGGATTTTGAAGGGTAGCAGTTAAGATGAGAAAACATGCTTTTATTAGGGAGCCTGGTTTGATGATTCCTCTCTTACTACAGTAAACAAGTGCTGAGCATAGGGCCCTTCGTAGGCTAGGTACAGACATTCAAAAAACCCAAGGTGGAATTGATACAAGTCGCATAGTTTTCTGTAAGTGGTGTAGTTTAGATTGGTAGCGAACAGAACACATATTTGCCCTTGGGGACAGCAGGGGGCAAATCTTGGACCAGGTTTCACCATTTTTTAATGAGTCTATATGTGCCAAATTTCTGTTCTGTTATGGGCATAGACTGGTTTCCAATCACTTACACTGGTAAGTGTAATGTCTGTACCTGGTCTTAAGGGTTAATCTGAATTAGCTGCTCAGAGGCCTGGAATCCTGATGCCTCCTTCTACTGCCTGTAGCTCAGGTACTGCTGGAAGTCTTGAGTCTGGAGCATCTCCTATTTCAGTTGGAGTCTCTGCGCACATAGATTATACTTTACCCTGCAGTGCACTATCCATGTTCTGGAAGTGCCTACAGCATAGTTAGCAGCAGCCCGGCTGTTGGTGGAAATTAGTTCCACTAACTTGTGATGACCAGCAGCACCTTGGAATAGCAAAACAAAAGAGAAATTCCTTATAAGAAATGTATAAAAGGAGCCTGGTCAAAGTTTTTTTGAATATTTTGCCTTTTCTGCTAGAAATTGTATACCAGCACTTGTTTCTGGTCAGTTTTTATTTCTTTATTCAGTTTGCTTTTGAGCTAGAAATGGATGCATCTGGTTTTTGCTTCCTGGTTCCAGTGTACCTTTCATACTTGTATCTGTTGGTCTACATAGTCCTCCCTTCCTTCTCTCAACTCCCTGACGTATGTTTGGGGTTGAGTTTATAGATTCATAGATTGTAATGTCGGAAGGGACCACAATGGATCATCATGTCCAACCCCCTGCCCTTGGCAGGAAAGAGGGCCAAGGTCAGATTCCCCAGCCAGGTATCTATCAAGCCTCCTCTTGAAGACCTCCAAGTTAGGTGATAGTACCACCTCTGTTGGAAACCCATTCCAGATTCTGGCCACCCTTACAGTAAAAAAATTCAGTTATATCTTTTAGGACAGCAAGTCCCAAATTCTGACAGACTGCATGCCACTAATTCAAAACGATACAGCCTTAAGTACCACCAACAAATTTTTCATTCACATAGGTAACAGAGTACATATTAAAACAACATCAAAACCTTTAGTAATTATAAAACATTGTTTTATCAGTTACAGTAGCCATATAAAACAGTTGTACATTGGAAAAAAGACAGTGTAAACTTACCCATCCAGAGATGCTTCAGTGGAGGCGTGAGCTTGCTTGATAGAGCACAGTATTCAGATGTCTGGTAGGGGGCTGTGGGTGTGTATGTGGTGTTTGGAGTCTGGGGAGGGGGGGTCTCCGCACACCCTGGCAGGATGCAGGTTACTGTGGGTCAGGAGCTAGGGGCAGCAGCAGGGCTGGGGTGGGCTGTGGCTTGGGAGGTGTGTGTGCGCACGTGCACACTCACTCTCTCTCACACACACACACACACACACACACACACCCACCCCACCAGGTAAGTCTGTGGAGGGGTGGGGGGAAAGGGTCAGGGTCAATCTGCACCCCCTTCCTTCTCCCCAACACACTTACCTGCTGGGTGCTGCTCCACACGCAGTGCTGCATTCCTGGCTGTGTGCAGCAGGCCACGTGCAGCAGGCTGTGGCTGAACTCTGTATGTGTGCAGCCCTTCCCCCCGGCGTACCTCTGCGTACCACTTCCAGGTTGTCTGCGTACCACTGGTGGTACACATACCACAATTTGGGAACTGCTGTTCTGGGATGTAAAAAATAAAATGTCTAATTAAATATCTTTAATATTAAAGTATTAGGTCTGCAGATGTTTTAGCAGGTTGAAAAGTCTCCTGTTAGGGAGACCTTTCTAGGGGCTTGTCCCATTTGTATTCTTTGTCACCAGATAAGTGATTTATCAGACATGCACACAAAGGCCTTAAATATAAAGATTTAAATCCAGGTTCTTTCCCTCCATCCTTTTCCACCTAAGAAACCCAAGCATGATTCTAGCAGCTACACCCTACCCCACCATCAACCCAGTTCTCTCTCCTGAATGTAGCTGTAATAAGAACAAGATGTACCAGCACTAGCAAGAATGGTCCTGTACTCAATTATCCATGTTGAACAGGGTTATAAAAGGTTATACCTCTCATATGCTTGGGGTCATATGCTTTGTAAGTGTCATACTGCTTGCTTCAGATTCAACCTGGCAAAATCTTGGTCCCTCCTCTGCAACTTACTTGCTGTTCCCAACGGTAGTGGAACTGTCTCCCACCTAGCAGAAAAATCTCCATCAGGAAGTTACAGGTGCTTCCTTATGGTACCAGATGATGACTTGTTTTTAGTAAATGAGGGGATCAGGACCCTAGTAAGTATCTTCCCTTCTTTGCCCCTTTCCTTGTTCCTGGATTGAATGTGTAGG